TAACCACAAGCCTCTGCCCCACACCACCCGCTTCCCTGTACTCACTGGCAGAAGCTGCAGAAAACTCATGACGTGAAAGCGAGGACCCAGGAGGGAGAAGACCAGTGGTGAGACCTGTGAGTCCCAGAGCCAGACAGCCCGAGTTCCAGTCACAGCTCTTCCCTTCACTGCTGAGGGACAGTAAACGTCTCTCTGTTTACATTCTCTAATTTGTAAAGCCCTGGTACGACATTGTCTACCTTGGATACAGTGATCACATAGGTTAATAGTCATGAGCATTTGCAGCACCTGGAACAAGGTTAGTGTTCAAGAAATTGAGAAGTTCTTACTCATGAGATTTCGTGGGGTTTTAATGGAGGCTTTCATGACCTTGGATATACGTACGGGTGTGGCTAGAACCTCAGACATAGGTCATATAGGCAGGCGTCTGTATCTTTCATCCTGTCCTGTCCAGCATGGGAAAGGGACTCCGAGATTGCCCCACGTGAAAGTCTACTCATTTTACTAAGACATACATTTGCTTGTCTTAAGAAACTGGGAGAGGGTCGGGGTAAATTTGGGGAGGGTGTTGACAAACCGGGAAAGACTAAGCATCTGATGATGTCATTTCATGTAGACTGAAAAATGCTTTGCGGAGAGCATTACAGAAACCTTATCGGAATCCCATGTGTCTGTGTTTATTTTACTTCCTCGCACCTCCTCATACACACACACAAACACACACAGACTGCACACGTTTATAAATACATATACAAATGTAGCCTAGTGCTGTACTATACGGGTTCTTTTGAGGATTAAGTGAAATTATAACACATAGTAAAACCTTAGTAAAAATTCTGGCATGTAGGAGCCAACCAGCACATCACTGACAAAAGTTTGAGAGGACGCACGACAGGGTTTGAACTCTGATCTCTGAGTGGGATGATGGGTGATGACGATTCTGACTGTTTCTATGTATTATCTGATTTTTCTGCAATTAGGCTCCACCAAGAAGCTGAGCAGCACAACACGGTTCAAAGAATGAACCTGGAGCTGGTTGGCCTGCACTTGAACCCAACATTTCCTGCCTTAGGTAGGTGACATCAGGCAGTGTGCTCTCTCTGTCTCAGTTTCCCCTTCTGTAAATCTGGGATAATAGTCACAGCTTCACACAGGGATGTTGTGAGGCTTACACGAGTTACTACGGAAAAAGCCGTCATTGTTGGTGTTTGAAGCATCGTCTCCTTCAAAGCCCCTGGTGTCCAGCTGCAGGTGGCGGAGCCACAGAGGAAATGCTCAGATCCCTGATTTCATGCTCTCGGATAATGCCCAGTCCTTGGCCATCTGTGGCTTCCTCAGGTGGCACACCTGTTTACCTGGAGGTCCTAAAAGTGCGTGGGGAGGTCCGGGGGCAGGGAGAGGGGATTCTACCCCAAGGAGTGCTCACCTGTGAGTCCCAGCAGTAGTGCCAGCAGCAGGGAAGGAGGCGGAGGATGGGGCCAGGAGGCAGGGGTCGGCATCGTGGAGGCCTGATGGGACTGCTCTGTCCTAGTGTGTGTCCCGCAGAGAACCCAGAGTTCCTTCTTTTGGGGAGAGAAGAGAAGCCCCAGCTCACCCAATAGAAGAGGAAGTGCCTGTGATGGGGTGACATGTACTGTGAGATAGTAAGCTGCTTCTAGATTCTAGCCAGTTCCTGCTTCAGGTTGTGAAACAGAAATCAGGCAGAGGATGCGGCTCCACTGTGAGGAGTTACTCGTCTTAGTTTTCAGAGAGATTGGACAGGCCTAGCAGAAACAATGCTTCCTCACCACCAACAAAACAATCATTTCTTCTTCTTTCAGGAGAGGAGGTGTGTTATATGACCTTCAGTTACATTCCTGGGCATTTATCTCCAGGAAATGAAAATTCATGTCTACACAAGACCTGTTCACTAATGTTACAGATGATTTCTGTGTAATAGCGCAAAACCACATGCCCCTGAATAAGTGAATGGTTTAACAAACTGTGGTGTGTCCTTATGAGGAAATACTACTGTGCAGTACAAAGGATGAGTTACTTATGTGTGCAACAGTGATTAGTTTCTTGAAGACGTTATGTTTATGAGTAAAGACTTTTTTTGAGACTCCACTTATAGCATTCTTGAAATT